GAATCTCACGAAAACTCATTTCACGTGAGTTTCACATATAGTGAAATGTACAAGAATTTCACGTCAGATTCACGTGAAATTCATTTGAGTGAAGTTTACCTGTGTAAACTTATAATAAGAATAAGCGTTAAACAATTAAAGAGAACTACATCAAAAGGAGTATGCTACTATGTAAACTGAGCGTAACAAAAACACTTTTTTTGACGTTGCATCTTGCTTTGCTGTTTATTCTCGGACGTCCAAAAGCTAAAATATTTATCACTGTATGCATTTAAAATGCATTCAGGACAAGCTTAAATGCAAGATAAATATTCGTGAACTTCCCGAAGTCATACACCCTGAAGAACATTGGTTAGAAAAAGTTTTTTAAAAAGTATTCACGCATCTCTTTTCCTTCATATTTCGATTTTACGTTTAATGCATAATAGCTCATATACCAAGGGTTGACTGAGGTATAGAAATATGGTCATCCCTAGACTTCTCCCCTCCGGAGGTATTAGCCTTGCCAAAGTGTGCTTCCGTTTGGTTTTGGGATGTATAAATACGCAGCCACGTCCGGTCGGAATGTGGCCGTTAAATTTGACACCTCTTATAGCGTGAGTACCACATTATCTGCAAGTTAAAAAATCCTTTCGAAAATTCTCAGAATGGTCCTTGGGTGGCCATTTGCGATAAAAATGTCTGCCCCTTGTTTTTCTCCTGTAAATCGAATGTTCCACCCTTCATCTAAGTCGACTTACCTTGCATACCATACCTTTTGTATTTTGTATTAATTGTTAATTTGTTCTCGTCTTTAATATGCATGAAATATGTGCCACTGCAACAATCAATCAATTAATCAATTACATGCACTTAGTAATTAAGATAATATATAGCTCACGCACACATATGCCTTGTCGTCCATATTGATTGGCTTTCAGGAAAATGATTAAATTTCATATTTTTTTCAATACTGTTTTGATATAATCAAAGCGACATGTAGTTGTTTGAGAAGATTTCTCTTCTGAATGTTTTTTTTATTGTTTATGATGTTGCTGTATGAATTCTACTTAGACATGCAGTGGCCGATATTAGAGCATAAAGGCATGTTTTCCATCTCAATTGATAAGTATACTTAAGGTTTGCTGTCATTCATAACCGTTATTCTTTGATACCTCATTATTTTTTCTACATGTAGCCGTGTTTTTTCGTCTGTTGGGTTTTTTTACTCCATGTACCATTTATTGTTCAACTGATCCAGATGAAAACAATTTTAATCCTTACGCATTCTTATGTGTTGGTCCCAATTCAGGAAACCTCACAATAGTTATTCTTGTTTGTATTATAGTTAAGTTCGATTTGCCCTTTAAGGAATGTGGTGTAAATGGCAGACCTTTGTAAATCTTTGTTGAATTTATTAAAGTCTCTTTTTTACCTCGGTGATTTAAAGTTTGACATATGAAATAGACGATTGTTGTTTGTTGCTTATAGTCTTTAGTCTTCTATGTAGTATTTTGTAGAGAAAAAAAATCACACCAAATAAGGTACCTCACATGAGACTGGGCTGATGCCACGACAAACGAAAAAAAAACCAAACTGTACATAACAAAAACCGTTCACATAATTCTTTTAAAGTTAATAATTAAATAACTGTATCAGATGCCATGCTGATATTTGAATTGCCAGAATAAAAGGATGCCTGTAGCCACGACTTACGGATATCTTTTGAAATAACAAAACGGAGGAGAACAATTAACTGCATTTAAAAATATAATATTTAGATATTCGTTGATTACAAATTGCTTTGTATGCCACATACTTTGTAATTAAGATTATATGTTGTGGAATGTTCGGGTTAACGTTGTGTTGCCGAGTCAAATTTAATTTGATTTCTCATATTTAAAATTCTCTTTTAACATGCACTTATTCGATTCCTTGGTGCTGATGAATACTTTCTTTCCAAATACGGGTACTTGTTTATGAGAGTACGTTAAAATTGGACAGACACAGGCCTTTAACTATGAACTTTCAAGGGGGGGGGGGGGGGGGGGGGGTATTTGACAGCGGGGGTTCTACTGTAATTAATTCAATGCAAAACTCTACATTCGGGCAAGTTCCAAATAAAACATCGACTTTAAAATTGTTAAATGGTTTTTAATGAGGGACTCAAACCCCAATCCAACATCACTTGTTGGTTACGGATGTGAGAATCGTGTTTAAGATAGAATAGATAACTGTTAACAACAACACAAGTCCTTCGTCGTTAAGATTATCTTCCTTTGAACACTGTAATGCCTATTATCAATCTTTAACAAGATTTCATTGCGTTAACATCTTTTGAGCTAATACACAAATGTCAAGTAAATACCATGTAAAATAGTAAACATGCTTCAGCTTATATCAGTAAAAAGAAATGTTGGGTATACGTCAATGAGAAAACCACCTTACGATACAAATTTCAAAAAGACACTTAGTGATCAATATATATATATATATATATATAGTCTCCAGCACTAGACATATGTATATAATAAATGTCAAGCATCAAATATATTGGAGTCTTAAAAGTTATTAGTAAATCAAACAGAGACTATATTAGATCTGCTAATCAACGCCAAAATCTCTAAAACACAAAATAAGATATGACATACTGTTGTGGTTTATGACTTTAGAAAAACACATATACAATTTTCAAGTTAAACAAGTTTTTTGTAATCTCATAATTCCCCTTATTAATCTCGATCAATGGACTAACAAAAACAAATATAAGAACATATAGAAAGTCAATACAGGAATAGAACTTACTCTATATTAACAGCATAATAGATAAGAAAAAATACAAGCTGAAGCATCAATAAATAATACAGTAATAAACAAAAACATATATCAAAGAATGCTCGCAGTTACTGAAATCAAGCTGAAAGTTTTTACCTGATGATATGATACCCTTCAGTAGTACACTCTAATACCGGGTGTGGTACTTCTAAGTTTTTACACAGGGGCATCGCTAATAGTGCAGTAAGACATGATCTTTTGCAATGCCCGGAACAAACATGCACAGAATATCAATGCTAAAAAACAAACAAAACATTTTATACTGGCTTCAAACTATAAATTAGCACATTAATCCTCGTTCCACAAAAATACGAGACGCAATGATTGAACAACAGTTCTTATACAACTTTCTATTAAACTCGTGCAAATAGAATCTTACTTTACCAATAACTCTATTTTTATGATAAAATTTAATAAAATAGTTGATCAATTCATAATATCTTAATATCCCTTTGGTTAAAGGAGTGATGGAAATAATACGTTCATTGAAAAATGAGGCGTTAATTCAAACACGCAAATATCGACACAACTGATAGATTGATGGTTGTTTATTATTTAACGTCCAGTGTCAAATATTTCATGCATGTTCAGGACGAGAACAAATCAACAATAAATATAATAGGTAGGTCCTGTAATAGAGGCTGTCCGGGATGAACGTAGGAGAAATTTGGACTGCAACTGGAAAATGAGGTTATATTGGGTAGGAGCAGAGATTTCGCCTTGCAACAGGCCATGTATGGACCCCTTAATGAGTTGTCGCAATGATCCTGAAAGTGCAGAGAGAGTGGCACTCTCTTTAAACGAGGCATCGAATTTAACGTTCACATTCTGACCGGTCGTGGCTGCGTACTTGGACATCCCGCACAGCCAAACAGACGCCCCATTTTGGCAAGAGTCTCTACTGCCGGTCCCCAGTCACCATTGGGTGTTCGAAACAACTGGCAAATGTACATTTAACAAGATGTCAAAGGAACACCATCATCAAGGAAATAAACTAAAATATCATTTGGAAAGGAAAAGTCGCTTGATTATCTTATGTTCATGATGCAAGCTGCAACGTTACATTAATCTGAAATATTCTTCCGCCGATATATATTTTCTCTTTAAAGTAACTTAATCACTGTATGTTTATGTTATGAAATTACAAAGAATATAAGTAACAATTTTATTAAACGTTGAAATAACTCGCTATTTATTGACTTTTTATTTCGATCTTCAATGATTATTGATTGCGTTTCAATAACTATCAACACAGTTGAAATACTTTATAAAAGTTAAAAGATCCGAATTTTTAAAAGTAAAATTTCAAAGATTTTGGCTGAAAGTTTACTTTTGTTATTTCCAAAATTTCAAAACTTTAATTTTAAAACTCGAGTTTTTAATTAAAAATGTTCTATAAGTCTAAATGTCAAATTTTAAAGGTGAAAATTTGACTTAAAAGTTTGGATTATTTTGCCAAAAAAAATTCTTCGAAACAAATGTATGGTGTTTTTAGATAAAATAAAAATCTATGAGGAATAAATATATGAATAAAATCATACACACTGTTTTTCATAAGGATTACACGAGTGCATCCGCGATGAACGTATCTGTAAATGATACATTTTTTATTTGAATGCCAATTCAAGTATCGTTCGACCTGCAAAATATGCCAGACAATTTTTTATGGAAAATGATCCACTGAGGTGGATACACTTTGTCATTGAAATTAACGTGCATTATGCACATATATTCTGTATCGTATAATATATAGAGCTGTGATTTAATGTCACATTTCTATTTTGTTGTATTTAGGAAGATGTATATTCATGAAAAAAATAAATTTTAAATTTATTCTTCTAAACTTTTTATTCAAATGAAGTTTCGCGTGTGTTTATCGCATGCAAAATTCAATACAAGTCAAAAGGAACCTTTTAAATTGTTGTTTATAATGTTTCTGATATTACTAGTAAAACTATAAGAAACTAACGAACATCCCTCCCCCCCTCCCAAAAAAAAATAAATAAATAAACATGCTCATATCGTTTTCTGTTTTAGATTATACATTTTCAATTTTAATCGTTGTCGAAGATCGTATGTTTACCTCTTGACGTCTTTAGTTATTTTTGTGTCCTTGGTTGCTGTTCCGATGACCCATATTTCATTTCATTTTTAAAACGATATTGCAGGTTGAATTTAAATTCAAAATGGCATGGAGATATGGAGCCGGACCAGGGTGTACAGAAACCAAAATAGGACAATATGTTCAAGGAAATTTTATTGGCGAAAAAGTTTGGAAATGTGTCAAAGGTTGCAGTGCAACAGCTAAACCACCCGTGGGTCCAGTGTACTATACATGTACAGCAGCCGTTAAGAAGGAAGACTGGGAACAAGGGGAGAAGAGTTTTCAATATACATTTACTGGAAAAGGACCTTTTGTAGTTAGGTAATTATAAATCTATGCGGTATAGATCTAACACGATTTTAAGACTTAGTAATGTTTTATCTCCAATTTAATTTAAACAGGACCAAGTTTAAACAGTTTTACCTTAAATTATTTCATGCTAGACAAACCTAACAAATATCTATAAACCAACTGGTAGACCGATACATTACAATATTTACTGACTGACTTTACAAAATATTGGTATAAATTCTGAACAACCATACACAAGAATATGACATTAAGACTGAATGAGCTGACTGGTTCCAATAAAGGATAAATTATTCCAACGATACATCGAAACCTTTCGGGCTACTCGGTGTTATATATTCCTGTTTTACACCGACACCTTTCGGGCTGCTCAGCGATATTTTATTCCTGCTTCACACTGACTCGTTCGGGCTACTAAGTATTATATTATATTCGGGAAACAAACAATTGGTTTATGTTCTTCCATCAAACATATTCATTGTTATTTTTTAAGTGTAATTTATAATGTTTTTAATTGTATTTATACAAATTTTTAAAATTATTTGTCAGGTATATTTTGTGTTAAGAACATTTATATTTGTGTTGTAGAAGGATTGTCTTTTTGATAGTAAAATTTGTTTTGTATTTGAAATATTTACAGTTATACTGGAGCTATGTGGATGAATCTTGCTCTACCATTTAGCCAGACGGGTAATTCTGATGGTGGATGGAATCTTCAAACGATAGTTAATTTAGGGAAACGGAGTGATACTGGTCTTCCTAATGCAAGTCCAGTTACAGCTAGTAAACCATTATATGAGTAAGTTAAGTTAACGATTGTAAAAACTAGTTTACCATTGCTAAATTTTGTATTACTTTGTAGCGCTGAAACGTACGAGTTTTTTCACCAAAATGACCCCTGGGTTTGCTGCGACGTCCTGTTGATAAAAGCTGCCTCGTCTTCTGTTGGTCCCTGTATTCTCACATGTGTGCAATCGATGCACTCCAAAATATTGGTAAAAGTTCCTGTGATCCTGAAAACTATTTGACTTCACGGTAATTTGAACAACCGTGTCTTGGATGATATGTATAGACATTTCTTACCTACAACCTTTATTAGTTGACGTCCCGATACATTTACTTTGTTAATTCTTTTGGTTGCTGTTATACCCAACATCTTCTTTTATGCATAACCCTTATTCTTAAGATACATGTAAACCCTGTAGAAAAGGAATATTTATTTATAACCATAGAATAATAAACTTTTGACATACTTTATATTTTGAAATATAAATTTCTCAAGTCCATTTCCAACACAAGAGCTACATGACAGCATTTAAGTAGACAAATTGAAGTTGTAAACTTTTATGAATATTCACAAAGGAATCCTGATATCTCGATATCCCGGAAAATTGCAGCCATTTTGAAAACCCCTATCTTAAACATTTAGGCTGCAGTTTCAATGCAAACATGAGATACAGATACCAATGGTGGATCCTGATGGAGATAAAGTAAGATGTCGCTGGGCTGTCAATGAAGAATGTCATAGTATCTGTAATGCTGTTCCTGTGGCGACACTTGACGAGGTAAAGTAACTACAACTTTACAGTTCTTCAGAAATTTCATCATATTTAGCCTTTGATAAGTTTCAGTTAACAATTTTCATAAAACTGCTTTTTTTTAATTACTTTTGGCTCTGGGTTATCCCGGTTCAATTAAATAAAAAAAATATTAGTTTGTTTGATTTTCTAATATGACGATTACAATACCATCAAATAGTGTAATGGAAAAAAACAAAGATATAAAACAAAATACACACATACTAAAATTTATATAAACTACAAAATATACAAACAAGAAAGAACAAGGATAAACAAAACAAATCAGACACAATACAAATTAATTAGAAATAACACGAACAAATTTTATTAAATGAAAACAGTCTTTTTTACTCCAATATTTATTGGATAGTTTTAATTCTGATCCCTTTGCGATTTTGTGATTTTCACATTTAAAATGTATGTGAAAAAAAGTAATATGTCTAGTTTCATATTAAGTTGAGCACGAAAAAGATCTAGCATTTGTACGGTACGTTTAATTCCGAGAAGTTTAAATGTTAGTTAGAGACATGATAAAATGTTTTTTTTTTTAATATTTCCTTGAAACGCACTCTTCACAAAAATAATTTCATTTCTACATGATTTATAAACTTTTGCAGGACACATGTACATTAGCATTTAACGCAGACAATACTAACTTCAAGGACGGTGGTTGGTATGCCGCTGCATTGACTATAGAGGACTTTCCAAAGGCCCCAATGCTCATAGGAAATACCTCTTATAATACCAGTACTGCAATAACAGCCGTGCCTCTTCAGGTACATTTTAAACATACTTTTACCATAGTTCATTATTGTAAGAACAACAACTAATGACATTATACCTGCTTTACATTTCCAAATGGGAGAAGTGTTATGTAAAATATTTATCATGCTGCAAACACAATTTTCATAATTTTCTAGAAATTTAACGGTTAGATTAACAGCATCTTTTAATGCGAAGTCTCATCGGATTTGTATTTGCTATGAGCAGCACACACGGAGTGCAACTAGTGGACCAGCAACTGTTTACCCTTCTGGGACACAAAATTCTCGAAATAACACAAAAGTTAGAAATATGTTTTACAGATCCCCAACCATTTTAATGTCAATAAGTGGACTGACAAAATGTACATTAAAGAAAATACAATAATAATTTAAAAGGAAAACACTATAACAACTTTATGATAAATAACAACACTAGAAGTACAGAGAAACCAACATGAACGTATCAAAGCATGTCCCTGAAATCACGCCATAAGTAAATCTTCTTGTATGAAATCATGCCATGCTACACTCAAATATCAGTGGCAGTACGTCACAGAAATTTCATGCAGCAGTTCCTGAATTTGTTAGCGTTTGAATAATATTACTATATAAAAAGTGGATTCGAAATACAACTTTTTATTATTGAACCCCTCTGGGTGGAATCATACTTCAGCAAAAATTCTCTTTATTTGAGATAAATATTAAACGTTTTGACGATTTTATGATATTTATATACGTGCTGTAAAATATTTTTAGTTATGAAAATATTACGCGCATATCGAACCAACTAAGATTCTCAATAAGAAGGACACAGTCACCATCATCATCTACTAGGAATAGGATTTATATAGGAAAAGAAAGTCATCCTTTATATTAAGGTTTCCATGAGAAAAACTTATATAAAGATTCTTAAAAGAACTTAGATCTCTATTATTGTTTCATTTTTGATATCAAAATAGGACATCCGAAACCCATAAGTCGCTTAAACAAAGAAGCTAAAATCAGCTATTGGTCAAATTTTCGTCAGGAAAAATATAAGTTCAGATTACGAAATTCATAATACGACTTATCACCGGATTTTTCATTTACCGTGAACAACACAATGGGTGCCAATAGAAGAACATAAACGCCCCCTCCCCTTGGAGCAATTGCGTTTCCATATTGTTTTGGGAGGGTTTCGAATTGTTGCTTATTCTTTAATTTTCTGTGTAGGGTTTTGTGGACTGTTGTTTGAATTTGAATCCCCTTGTCCATGGTTTTGTGTGTAATTCTTTGACGTGATATTCTTTTACACCCAACATCATGACAGTGGTTACAAAGCAACTTGTCGAAATCAATTTTATTTTGAACCAGTAGTCCACAGCTTCCACAATAAAGTACATTATCTTTTGATGCTGATGTAACTGTGTCCTAAAATTATTACAACGTCATTATATAAATTACATTGTTTCCACTACAATCGCACGCCAATCTTTATCATAAAGGACAGTTGATTGGACAAAAGTGATGGATTTCCACGCCCATATTAAACTGAGGTCCTATGAACTGACTTCAGATAGCTGTCAATATGAGGGAAAATATTCCTGATATATTTAGACATTTAGTTGGGAACCAGTATTCGATATTGGAAAAAGGAGGAGCGTGTCATCCTGAATTTCCGGGGGGAAAAACAAAAGCTGAATACCGAAATCCCGAAAAAATAAAGCATTTTTCCCGAATAAGTGTAAACCCGAATTCACACAAAAATAAAGGCCCAGGTCGACGTCCCGAAAAGATCTGTTCTAGAGTTCAGATAATTCAAATTTTCAGGAATTAAAATTATACAAAAATATTTTACACAAATTTTTCTTTAGACGCGTAAATTGATATAGGTTGCTAGCTGGTCTGGATTTTGATAGAAAATAACCAATCAGATGTATAAAATATCTTATGTCATGGGTCACGCACGGACGGTCTTACTTTACAGGGATGCTTATGCGGCACATCTAATATAAGATTAATTTTAACCAGACATTTACCCATTGTACATTTGAATATACCACAGAACTTAAATTCACGTGAATACATTGACCTCGTATCTTGTCGACGATGAAGCCCGTCAGACAGGTGGCTTATATCCTCAGAAGAATCCTTGATGAAATTTGAAATTTAAACAACTCTTAATTAAAATAGATAATGAAAGTGTCCATCTACCGAGTGCAGAAAACATAAAATATGCTAATTGATAGATACAATATTTGGTTTCTTTCCATATTCAAAACATTTCGCATTATTTTAGAATTTTTATAGCTTTTCAGAAAGCTTATTGAATTTTTGAAAACAACCATTTGGTATAAGTACAATATGAAATAAAGAGATGTGGTATGATTGCCAATGAGAACTTTCCACCAGGGACCAAATGACGCTTGAGAAATGACGTAGATGTTAAAGCAACTAATAGTCATCGGCCTTCATTAATAAGCAAACCCCATACCGCAATAAGCAAGCCATAAAAGGCCCAGACATAACAAAATGTAAAACATTCCAAACGAGAAAACAAACGCGTGAATTATGCACAAAACAACAAACGAATAATAAATATGATTCATAGCAACGAACGACAATCACTAAATTACTATCTCCTGACTTTGGACAGGCACATAAATAATGCGAGTCAAGCATTTTCGTGTGCGTTATAAATTACATCAAAGACTTTCTTTATTCAAAGAATAAGTTCGAAAGTACATAATTATTACCAATTCACCATGATAAAGAAGGCTTGTTTTGAAATAGAAAGGAAAAAGTAGTTTATTTCTACTGAAAATTGTTTTCAATTTAAGAAATTTATTTTCAAATTGTCCCAAGAGGACGTTCAAAAGACGCTTGTCTATCAATTTAAGAAGGCGGGTCAAACTGTCATTGGTATCCAATGAATGGTCCATTGTACAAAGTGTTGAAGAGCGGTGATGCTCAAACACATCGAATGAGATTGTCATAAATGAATGACAATGTTGTATAAACAACAAAAGGGGCTACTACATAATCAAGATTGTGTAATCCTAATTCAAAATAAAGTTGAAATTAACAAGTAGCTTTGCAACCACTGTCGTGATGATTGGTGTACCTTCATTGTAAAATAAGGACGTCTGGTATAATTGGCAACGATATATCTATCCACTAAAGACCAAATGACATCGATGTGGATTGCAGGTCATCATATTTTTAACCCTCGGAGGCAAACTCGTATCGTGTCTTTTCTTATTTTGTTCTTGAATTGTCAACGTCTGTCAAATCGTTCCTTATCAGCGATATCTACTGTCAGAGATAGCATGTAACCATTTTTTAAATTTGAATGTAATGAACAGATTCTTAGTTTAATATGAAAATATACAGTAATTTCAATAATTTTATGTTACAATAACGATGCTTTTTGCAGTTTATAATTCATATCAAATCAAAGCCACTAGACTGTAACTGGAAACCAATATTTGTGCCTCCTACACCTGTCCAGGGTAGTCATATTACTATTGCTGCCCATGCCAGTGTTAATACCAAGATGTATGCTTCAAACGCAAGGAACCCGAAATCAACGTATGTAATCACTAGACAGGTCTTGTTGTTCATAAATAAGAATGATTAATTGCAATTTAAAATCTATCTATCTATCAACCGCCACGAAATAACACAATAGTGTTGAAAGTGGCGTTAAATACCAATCAATCAATCTATCTATCAAAAATCTGCAACAAAACTGTAAAAAGATATATTAGCAAATTTCATAAAAACGAATTCAGATCGTTATAAAATTAAGAAGAAATGATATGATTTGCTAATGAGACGACGCATACACTTGACAGGAAAACGAACCATTTTAATCCATATGTTATTTAATATAACACACACCCTTTAATAGATACCAAAAATCCTTGTAGTTGCATTCGCATGCACATGACTCTTATTGAAACCTCGTTTTGATCTATTGCTTTATATACTTTTAAAACACAACTAATATTTTATAATTTTACATATAGAGTGGTAGACATATCATTAACAAGTCCTCCTGGAATGACATACACTGGGCCATTCAAGGACTCCAAACACCCTGGTGTAGTTTACTGGGATCTCAAATGGACACCAACAGCTGCCCAGAAAGGTGATAATATTCTTTGCGGAATGGCCGAGGACGATCAAGGGTATGTAGCATACTACAGAAAATTAAATTTTTGCAAACATGTTACCATAAAACAGTTGATGGCTTCTTACATCGGGACAAGGAAGTGTTTTGTTCAATGATATTACGAAAAGGGAACGTGTAACTGATATGCATATGATATTTGTAACAATACAATCACCTCTATTTTGAAATTATTATATTGTAGTTCTTCATAAGAACGAGAGTAATTTGGAACTGCGTACTGATCTTTAAAAATTTCATAAACTTACCTTCGAAACATTATAACCAGATTGAAGGCCAGCTAATAGTTACAATTGATAATAATAGCATCCTTTGCCGTTTGAAAAAAAAGCATCTATATATTGACTTTCAAGGACTTATTCTCGTGATTAATCAACATGAGGGGATACTTGTTTCAGGATAATTGCCAGGTAAAGTTTGAAATGGTGCCCCTTATCCTACCATATCCAATTTATGTCTTTTAAGCCTGCCGAAACACAATAATTTGATAAATAATTTGAAAGTGGTTTCCTCTACCTAGTTGATTTTGGGCACTTTCCAGTAATTGTGATAATAAATAATACTGTAGAAACGGATATTTTCTTTGCAACATTTTGAGCTCCTAAATACAGCGAAAACCAAAAATAGACAGCTACACAGAATACAGTTGGACGGGGTTTCCTATACCAAGCACGATTTGTAATTCAGCATATTGAAAACACATATAGGAGCTGTATCTTATGTTTTCACAATTACACACCAAAAATAAGGATAACAATCAATCTGGAATTTAAAACTTTGATATTAACATCTCAGAATTGTATAATATTGAGTGTTAAATGCATATTAATCTGTGCATATATTTAATTTTAGGCAGCTAAGTGACACATACTGTTTTACTTATATCGCATGGGGTAAGTTTTCTATCTTAAAGCAGAAGAAGCAGGTCAGCAATAATAAATCAAAATTAAATATGAATTTGCTGTGTTTGACGTACGCGTGTTAAACTATTTATATTGATTAGACTGTAATCATATGAGCAAATGCGCATCAAGAAAAAGCTAAATCGTTTTCCTAAGGTCAACTTTGTCTGCCTGAGGAAGTTCGAACATTATTTATAAAAACTATCAAAATACTAATAATAATCAGCAAACACTGACCAAACTTTTAAAAAAAATATTTTCTTAGTTATTATCTAAATAGATCATAATTCTGTTCTCAACAACAAACACATAAAATGTGTAAGAGTAGACCAAACATTTCACTGAACCAAGCCGGATTGAATCCGGATTGCTGGCTCGGAACGCCAATAATCTATCCACTGTTCTTAATACAAGGAACAGTCTGGTTAAGTGGTAAATGAGAGCGGTCATTTATCAACCAGGTCTAGGAAAATTCAACAAAAACAAGCAAAAGAATGAACAAATGTTGCTGTTGGTCAGATGGTTGGTTGATTTCAAAGTTGACAGAAGAAAGGCACCTGTCATTGTGACCTGCTACCATCGTAACTAACAGATAATTTGTCATTATTATTATTACCTCCAATTTTTTATTCAGATCATGACCCATGCGCAAGTACACCTTGTCACCACAACGGTACATGCAACAGGAGAGGATCAACACAAAACTATGACTGTATTTGTCCTGGATATACAGGAAAATTGTGTGACTCAGGTACCTTTAGAATATTTCAATTTTTCAAATGAGATATTGTTACTAATCTTGCATAATAAACGATAAGGGTGGGCGATTGTTGAACGTTATTTTGCCATCCCGAAAAAAAGAAGATATACAATCCCGTGTGAGAATATTGATACAAACGAGGGAGGGCGAATATTTAACGTTATTTTGCCATCCTGAAAAATGAAGGTAAACAATCTCATTAGAGGAAAATACAAACGAATGTTAATGTTATAAACAATTATCAACAACGCTAAAATTCAAGCCTTGATATTCAAAAGGAGAAACAATAATTTAAAGCTAAAAAGACTTTTAATAAAAGAATTTGGAAAACCAGTAGTTTTTACAGTAAGGTAGTGCAAGAGCAAGTTATCAGAACTAGGAACACTGAAAAGCCGTAAATATATCACAAGGACAATATATGAGTTTATATGCCACCAGTAAGTTGAGAAACTGTGCTACCGTTACGATCATCCATATGGAGATGGCGGCGGCGACAGTGATCATTGAAGCGACAATTTCACTTCTTCTTCCCCTTTATTATTTATAATATAAGCAATAGACTAGGATACATGTTGTGTAACTACTTGAGAACAGGGATCTAACCATTGGAAATCTGGTGTTATCCCATTTTTTTATTCAGCTTAGTTTTTTTCTTCAAGAAATTATTAAAGTTATTTCCTCTCTAATTTCGGACAGACAATTATGTATTTTATTAATGGACTGAAACCAGTCTTAAAACAATTAGAAAATAAAGGTACTTTGCTTTACAGAAATAGATGAATGTGCATCCAACCCATGCCAACATGGTGGTACATGCACAGATCTTTTCAATGCCTTTCAGTGCTCATGTAATCAAGGTTACAATGGAACATGTTGTGAGATTGGTAGGTGCAATAACATAGTTTTACATATCAATTCGTAAAAAAAGTGATTTCGAAAGGGTAGAATACATGTCATATGTCATTTTTACGAAATAGGTGGATTTAATGACAAAATACAATAAATGGCAATTATGTTACATTGAAATATGCTTCATAAAAATTAGTAGAACATCGCTTCTTATTTAAAGCAAGATGGAAAGAGATGGCTTATACTTCTGTTGGTAGTCTTGGAATAGCTTTGAATTTTGTCTAAATGTATATTCATTCATTTGATAAGTCATCTATTGATTGCTTCTACATTTCTAAGCAAAGAAAATATATTTTTTATGTACAAGTAAAACTTTATTTGAGCATATAACCAATTTCTTCATATTTCACAACAGATATTGATGAATGTAGCAGCAATCCATGTAAGAATAAAGGGACTTGTAAAGATGGCGTCAATAGTTATAGCTGTGATTGTCCACCTGGTTACACCGGAGTCAACTGCCAGTCAGGTAAACTTTATAAACAAAGATGAAATGTGTAGTATAGTCTTAAATATATGATTTTTTTATTTGTTTTCATAGGTTTTGAATTAACTTTTAGTAACTGCGAATACTCTCATTTCTGTAAAAAAAAAAATAGGAAGATGTGGCATGATTGCCAATGAGACAACATGAGACAACTCTCCACCAGAGACCAATTAGGACTTTAGGTCACCTTACGGCCTTCAACGACAAGCAAAACCCATACCGTATAGTAAGCTACAAAAGACCCACAAATATGTCTTACAGTTGTTAAACTTCTACGTTATTTGGTCTCTGGTGGGAGAGGTGTCTCATTGGCAATCATGCCACATCTTCTTATTTTCATTTACGTCTCTGAAACAGCATTAAACAAACGATCCCTATTAAAAGAACCAACAAACGGCATGGCAATAGAAGCTTCATTGACGACTGAATTCCGGATGGACGGAATTACACTGATGGATAACTGAATAAAGGGTAGATAGGATTGTGGACATGCAATATCATTGATATGTTTATTTCAAGTAAATTCCCTTTTTTAAAATGTTGAATTATTAACACTAAGTTTTTTTTAACTCAGGCATAAATTGTCTTAGTTGTATTTGGCACAATTTTTCGGAATTTTTCTGTTTTAATACCCTCTAATTTCGTTTTGATTTGGCATTCAAACTGTTTTGATTCGAGCTCCACTGACAAGTCTTATGTAGACAAAATGCGCGTCTTGCGTACCAATTTTTAAGCCTGGTATCTTTGAAGAGTTTTTATATTAGGTCATTTCCGACTCATAACTACTGATTGCCTTGAATGATATAAATGATACTTGTTATGGTTGTTACAACCATCAATTTTACTTGCATACAAGGTAAAGAAATTTGAAGATACATAAATATGTGTTTTAATTTCAACATCAAGATGAGTATAGAGAAACAGGGCATACTTTTGTGAGCCTTATCTGAATAAGCATTAGTTTCTATTATTTGGGATATTTTGGGGGTTTTTTGTTTGTGCTTTTGCTTTTTGATGTGGTGGAAGATACGACAAATTGACAGTTAATATAAACGAGGAATAACATTGTATTATTAATTCTAAAATCTATCTTTTTTTATTTGCATTAATATTTAATGTTATTTAACAGTATTCAAAACATCTGAAAACATTCGACTCTTAATTATAAAAAACAAAAATTAGAAATAAAAACTAATTCATAAAAACTTGAAAATTTATAAATACTGTAAATAGATATAAGAAGATGTGGTATGAGTGCCAATGAGACAACTCTCCATCTAAGTCAAAATTTATAAAAGTAAACCAATATAGGTCAAAGTACGGTCTTCACCACGGAGCCTTGGCTCACACCGAACAGCAAGCTACAAAGGGCCCCAAAATTACTAGTGTAAAACCATTCAAACGGGAAAACCAACGGACTAATCTATATAAACGAGAAACGAGAAACACTTATGAACCAACAAATTTCTTCTATACATTTGCCTTTTTTTTATTAATTAATTTGATTATTTATTTATCAATTGGTTCTGCATTTTTTTAAAAAGTAAAGAAAATTCAATATTATTTTTAGATATTAATGAATGCTCTAGTAACCCGTGCCAAAATGGTGCCACTTGTACAGACAGAGTCAATGGCTATTCGTGTGTATGTGCTTCAGGATTCTCAGGAGTTACTTGTCAAATAGGTAAATATATAACAATTTTTAATTAAGAATTACAGTTGGATCACCTGAGATATCCCCGGTAATCTGTGCGGTCCGTATTGCTCAGTTGGTAGTGTTCTATGTTCTGTTTTGTAGATTGTTGTATGTCTTTTCGTCATTTTTCGTATTTTGTCATGATAGTGTCAGTTTGTCTTCGACTAATGAGTTTATATTTTGCATACCCCTTTTGTATCTTCATCCTTTCCATTTGAAGAGGTAAATTAATGTCTTTACAAATTGAATGATGGAAACACATGTTATTTCAAATCGACCTTATTTGAATATGATTTGTTATTAGAAAATTACATTGTAAGTGACGTTATATTAAGGACATGACAAGAATTTTAGCATTCTCTAAATGGAGCCAGTTGCTTTTGATTAATTGTCGAAAAGAACGCTATAATTCCAAAAAAAAATTAAATGATAGTAAACCAAAAATACAGTGAAAGTCAGGGGATAAAAAGAAATCGAATGAGGCGAGATCACCAAATACTAGTATATTAATGTATGAGCCGTGTCGTCTATTTTCTTCCTAATTAAGACCAGCTAAAATAAAATAAGGTTTTCTTTCTCCTTTTACATTATATCAATATTTCTAATACATTTCATGTACAAAATGATTATTTTTACAGATATAAATGAGTGTGTTAGTAATCCGTGTAAGTTTGGACAATGTACTGACCAAGTTAATGGATACATGTGTACTTGTCTACCTGGGTACAGTGGAGTTAATTGTGATACAGGTAATGTAATGATACTATTTTAGAAATATGTTTCTCGACGAGCATATACCATAAAAAGCATTCGTATATTTATTTGGATTGGTTTATAATTTGGTTACTAGTACATAAGATATTCGTTTAATAGCGAATTATATATAATTCTTCATGAAAATTTGCCATTGCGCATCTTTTATTTTACTTTTTGTTGTTCTTCAACTAATTTGTGGTGTCAAGTATGTATAGGTTACGGGGGTATCAATTTGAAACATCTACTCACTCTACTTTAGTTTAGAAAAGAAATTTCTGAACCAACTACACTTAATCCCCATTTTTTTTTAAATCAAACATTTTCTACCTCTTATCCTTTTTATTACATTATGTTTGATAACAATAATTAGATTTTTTATTACATTATGTTTGATAACAATAATTAGATTTTTTATTACATTATGTTTGATAACAATAATTAGATTTTGATTATGATACTATGGTTTCATAAACTACTTTTATTTTAAACAATGGAAATTTGAGTATGGTTGTGGTTACATCGTTATAGCTATTGTAGTTGACATATACTGTTTCAATAATTTGCAATATGTTTGTTTATGTTGTATAAATTGCAGAGACTGATGAATGTGCTAGTAACCCATGCCAGAACGGAGGGTCTTGTACTGATCAGATGAATGCTTATAAATGCGCCTGTCAAAAAGGGTATAGTGGAGACAATTGTCAAATAAGTAAGTGTTTCATTACAAGCTGATCATTATATTACAAGAACAAATATATCAGTTCCTTTTTAGAATAAATTGTAAAACAAACACTAGTATACGACCTTTTTTCGGTGAAAAAACAAGAAATGGAATTAAGTAAAATTTTACCAAACAGCTGAATTGACACACATGAATAATGATCACTTGCACATGCATATTTCTTATAACTTGTAACATATATACGTTGCTTTATTATTCTCAATTTTATATTTTTCTTTAGAAGAACATTCTTCGGCTTTGATATTTTCAGGCATCGATACTCATGCTCTCTCAATTTTATCTTTGTTTCGCTAATTTTGGATAAAAAAAATATTTACTAAAGGGCAGTCAAACTTCAGAAGTCGACGAAAGACAGACAACGCCATACCCAAAGAAAACAGACAAACAGACTGACAGAAAAACAATAATCCACAATAACTTGTATAGAATACTAGATGGAGCAACACGAATCCCGCCAAAAACCCGAGTGCACTCATTTACATCGTAGCACCTCTTGTTCCACTTTTAACTTCAGGGTCCTCGCTGGCCGAGTGGTCTAAGTAGTTCAACTACTACATCACTAGCCTGTCAACACTGAGGTTGTGAGTTCGAGTCAGTATGTGGCAAGACTCCAATCTTAAATTACTATGATTGTCAGTTTTTTCTACCAAAGTTCGGTGGTTATCTCTTGCAACTCCGGCTTCCACCACCAATGAAAACTGGCAGCCACAAAACAGCCAACAGTGCTGAAATTGGCGTTTAACACCAATTAATTAATCATCTAGGACTTCCGTTATGTTAGTCATGCTGAAAATAGCTAAGCTTAAGGCAGTGAGAAGTTTGATACTATAACTGGAAAATGTAATCCTAAGATATTACCAAGTTTATAAACGACCAGTAAATGTGAATTCTCTAACCCAAGAACATGGCCAATTGTGAATGTTTAAATTTACGACAAGTTTTCAAGACAGCAGATTAACATTACTACTACCGATATAGCCAACACAAACAATGCAATATTAAACATGACAACAAAACAACAAAACAACACAGAAAGCAAAAACAGCACAAACACATACAAAAACTAGATGAATCCAGCATTATTGCGGTCATCACAGTGAATAACATGTTAAGAATTGAGAACTATTTCAAAAACAAATACATGTTTTTTCCTTGGGCCAATGTAGTGAGACAGCCTTTCTAAACTTCAACCTTTTTAAACTTGTAAGTGCTTTTTATGCTGTCTTTGAAGAAAAAGAAACATTCAGCAAGCAAAGTTAACCAAAATGAATAATTCGACATTCCATAGATTATTATTTAAGTATGGCTGTATCTACTTCTAATTTAGTTTTCATTGAACAAAATGACTAAATGAGAAGTTGGAAAGTTTAATTAAACAAGTGAATTCATCTTTTAAAAAAATAGCTTATTTATACTGTATTTAAATTTAGTAAAACATTCAGAGCACATTGTTGATTCTTCGACTGTTCATTTGAATCTGGTCTTTTTGTGCATACTTGAGAGTATATTGATCTGTTCTGCTCGTATACATTGGCTTAGAATTAAGAAAGCTGACATTATAATCTACTATAATATTGTTGAACTATCAACATATTTTGTCATTCTTGAACTTTGATATTGCCTTTGACTAATTGAATTTATCTTTAGCATGTTGCTTCGCTTATAAATTATTCAAGCTTCTTTTACTCGTATGCATGTCGTGATCATTTTTTATAAGCTGAGAAGGGATTTTGCTTCATCTCATTTGATACAGCGGAATAGAGCCAATAGTGTAGCTAATGCTATAAGGTAGGCAAATATATCATACATTATTTTTTAATATATACAAATTAAAATTTGGTTGCATTTTTAGTAAATATTTTCCACAAAATACTTTTTAAACAAAAAATACAATAAAAGTTGTGTAAAGTCTTTTCGCAATGTGATTTTTTTCTTCAGTTTTTGAAACCTTATTTGCTTGAGTAAAACTAAATAAAATAGAAATTGTCAAATATGAAAGGTTACAAGTACTTTCACAGCAATGATAATTTTTTTTTAAAAGTCTGTTAATTCAAAATCAATATTTAAATTTAGATGTGTTTTACTAACATCGATTAACCTTAAATATATAAATTATCATATTTCAGATTTCAGTAATATTTCTCCAAATAAAGAATCTACAAGCCGGGATTGTCTTTCATCAACAGAAGTTTGGCCAATGTTGTTTGTTTTGTTGTTCATAGTGTGTTGTTTGGCAACAGTATCTATACTGCTAGCACTTTATGTCCGAAAGATCAAAAGTATGGGAAAAAACAAACTAGATGATGCAACATTTTTAGATCCTGTTGTGAAAGTGTTTAAAAAATGATTTTTACATTTGAGTCCAAATAAAGATTAGATTAGCTTGCAGCATTTAATTGTTTATAGTTGTTTTATAGTTTATCTGAATTGACCATATACTCAAATATAAAGTAGTATATCACAGTCACTCCTAATGTCAAGATAACACCAACGGTGAAAACAGTCGAAGTTACTTTTAATACATGATTAATATTTTGGCCTCGAAAATCAACGACGAGACATTGATTGTCGAAATGCGCATCTGTTGCAGTAAATTTGGTGTCGTGTATGTTATTACTGCCACTTAGTGGATAACTCTCCTGGTGAACTTTAAGTCCCCGAGAGTATCACTAGCCCAGTAGCCAGTACCTCTGAATTGGCATGAGAATACAGATATTGTTTTTTTTTAATTTGCTGTTACAAAATTTTCAAAATGATTTTAAACTAAGGAATATATCCCTCTCGTGCAAAGTTCTGCTTCATTGTCTGGGTTTGGCATAACTTTTGGCTATGTTTTGTTTTATCGGCTCTTCAATGTTTAAATAAGGTATTGGATTCTCAAATAGTTTGGCCTCGATCATTGATTGTCGAAATGGCTATCAGGTGCAATATATTTGGTAGTGATTTTTGCAATTAAAACCTTAATTTTTAAAACATGCAGTATAGAAATAAAAATAACGAAAGTTATCATAAATTGATAAATGGAGATTTGGGTATACATCAGTGAACACTCAATAAAGCAAACACAATATGCATTAATTATGGTCTTTCACATTCTCGGGATTAACTGAAATTTTATGTTGAGATTTCTGGAATACATTAGTGAAGCTTAATTATTTCTTTAGTCTAAATTTTGTTTTGTAATTTTAAATTGAGGACACATACATACATACATACATACATACATACAAACTAGTCTAAATTGAAAACAACGTTCAAACCTATGATTGCATTGGATAAAAACCGCAATTTTTATACGTGTGCATGCAAAACAAATTTCTTGGTAGAGGGGTTTAAATACAGCACAAACAACATTTTCCAAAAGACCAAAAAATTGAAAAGAATATTTTAACAAAACGCATTTGACAAGCAGGTCGAACAACGGATGTTCTTAAACCCTGCTGACTGCCATGGCGATTGCAAAATAAACGGATCACTAGATGTAACAAAATGGATCTTAATTATCAATTTAAAACTAAACAGAAAACAATAAATTTTGAAGAGTCGAAATAGGATGAACGGATTATATACGGATTACATAAATACATACATACATACATACATACATACAAACATACATACATACATACATACAAACATACATACATACATACATACTTTAAAAGTTTTAAAGATATAATTGGTCGATGTTTATCATCATGTACGCCCAAGAACAAAAGCCGAAAATATAAAACGTTTGATGGCATATATCTAAAAACGACTTGCATAGCCAAAACAGTGAAAGGTCATTTTGAGAGAGTTGCCGTTAGTTTAAGCACAATTATTTAATTATGATCTAACAAAATCAAATCTAGCTCAAAACATATTTATTTTATATATTTGATAGGTATTATAAGGTATTCCGTATCCTCAGAACAAATAAATCATTGTTGAATTATAATTTATTAAAAACCTAAGCAGTGCATAGGTGAATGTCGTTTATAGGTGTTTAGAAATGATACAAAGAGTGTAACAAGTAAGAAGTAAGAATATACTAAAGATGAAATAAAATCACCAATGGAAAAGGATAGACAACACCATAATTCAAAGAAAAAGATCAAAAAGAAAAGAAAGTCCACAAATCAGAACACTAATAATATATTGTAAAAAAAAACATTACACAGAGAAGTAAAGATCCAACATTATGAACAATATTAAAATACGGGGATGATGACATGTGCTTCTAAAATGTAAGTAGTTCCTTGCCCACGAATGAAAATCACCGTGTTTAATAATGATAACAAGTAAAAATCGGGTAATAAATCACATTTGGTAATATTCTTTATCGAGAAATATGTATGAGATTGTTTTGCGTTGACAACATTTAAATCCTGGTATCTGTGATGAGTTTATTTATAAATCATTTATGATTTTGATTTTGATTTTTTCCCCAATAATTCCAAACTTGTTACTTGTTCCTGAAAAAAAACCAACTTGTAAATCATTTATGAAAATATTTCGGATCATATGTACATCTAATAAGACTAAATGGCTGAAGTCATCTATTCCTTATAAAACTGAAATTATCATTTTTTTCTTTAAATATTGAGTTACCAGATCTCAATTTTTCCGTGAAGGATAAAAATATCTCAATGAGTACATCTAATATTCACCTGGCAGCTACTTTCAGTAATGATACAAAATTGAACAATCGTATCTAAAGTATGATTACAATAGTAAAGAAACAGATTAATGTTAATTCAAAACCTATCACCTAATAAAACATACATATACTGTAGAAAACGTATTATAAAAGGGATATCACATCCTAATGTTTACGGGGATGTTATTCATAGAGGCCGTAAATTTAGATACTATCGGTGTAAACTGCTCGATCCTTGAAATAAAGTATTCTAAACTGTCATCAGTTCAACACTATTTGACGGTACTGATATTTTGGCATTGCACAAGATCATGTTTTTCTCTAA